CATAGATGCCTAAGGTGAAATGACAAATTCAACTGGTCAACTTACTAAAACTAGCCATAGATGCCTAAGGTGAAATGACAAATTCAACTGGTCAACTTACTAAAACTGGCCATGGATGCCAATGGTACAAATGACAAATTCAACTGGTCAACTTACTAAAACTAGCCACAGATGCCTAAGGTGAAATGATAAATTCAACTGGTCAACTTACTAAAACTGGCCATAGATGCCTAAGGTGAAATGATAAATTCAACTGGTCAACTTACTAAAACTGGCCATAGATGCCTAAGGTGAAATGATAAATTCAACTGGTCAACTTACTAAAACTGGCCATAGATGCCTAAGGTGAAATGATAAATTCAACTGGTCAACTTACTAAAACTGGCCACAGATGCCTAAGGTGAAATGACAAATTCAACTGGTCAACTTACTAAAACTAGCCATAGATGCCTAAGGTGAAATGGCAAATTCAACTGGTCAACTTACTAAAACTAGCCACAGATGCCAAAGGTGAAATGATAAATTTAACTGGTCAACTTACTAAAACTGGCCATGGATGCCAAAGCTGAAATGATAAATTCAACTTGTCAACCTACTAAAACCGGCCGTGGATGCCAATGGTGTGCAAATGACAAATTCAAGTGGTCGACTTACATAATATTGCTGGTAGAAAGGTGATTAGACACTGGGATATTGATATACACTCAAATCTGTTTACTCACCATTTCTTATCATTAAAGTGATTTCTTTGGTTGCTGCTTTAATAGAAAATTTTTTGAGTTGATAAATATCTTCACCGACAACTAACTGACATTGATGGTGTCCTATCGGCACGACAACCGACTCTGACTGATAATGAGCCTCTTCCGGAGTCCACTTCAGTTGCACCGGGTCACCCTGAAGTATAAAAAAAAAGTAAAACATGAAATAGTGCAAAATTATCCAAATCCACCTCATTCAGCATAATCAGAATCAACATTTTTGTATATACTGTAAATTGCCAGGATCTGAGGAATTGCACTAAAAACTAAATTCTGCAAGTCAATGACACTTTAGGTTGTTAAAGCAGTTTAATTCTGCTCCCAATTAATGCATACACGTATGGACCAACCCACTCCTAATACAGGGTGTTAGCCAGCTACCAGTCCACCCACCCACCAACAGACTGGCAACTTTAATTATTTGGACTGGCAATTTTTTCCAAATTTTCTCTTTTTTCCTATTGTTCTTTGATAATTTTACCAAAATATATCCAAAACCATCTACATTTTCATGAAGTAGAATTGTTTTGGACTGGCAGTTGCAAATTCCTGGCTAATAACCTGTCCTGTATTACCAATCTACTAATATGCAGTCAGACAATACTAATTAACATACCAATGATAAATATTGTTTTTTTGGAGGTATCTAGATCACTGATGATATCTCAGGACATAAAAAACAATTTTTACTTCAACAATATTTGTTTGACAGTTTGAACAGTATGTACAATATGAAAAGTTGAATGACAAATGTTGATTTTGTTTATGAATATTTTGCTGAAAGTCATTTCACTATTTCTCATACACAACATTAGGGTATCTATATATCCACCAGTAAGATTCAGTATACAATACATGCAATTATGAGATTATATGCACTGGTAATAGACAAAATACAGTAATAATGATATTTTGTTTGTTTAAAGATTTGCTTCTGAAATCTAAGGAAGTTCATTATAATAAGACCACATCCTTTTCTTGTTGGTTTTACTCCAAAACTGACATATACTTATTTTTAATAAATTGTTTAAAGTTCTGAAAGGCAGAAATATCCAGAATAATTTTCTTATTGAGTAGAAAATCTGTGGCAAAATGGCATGAACAATAGTGAAGTGCAAGTCAACAACGTGAACAATGATGTGACACTCAACAACGTGAACGTTAATACTAACTGGAAAAGTAGACATAACAATAGACCTGCAGCGCTAACATTTCACATAAGAAAATCAATTTACGACTGACAATTAAACTAGCCAAGTAGAAAATATAAGTTCATGACCCCAAGGTCAAAAGGTAATAAGATTCCTTTCCCATATAATGAGTATAATGGCAATTGTTCAGGATAATAAAAACTTAAACAGAAAAGCACAATAAGTAGACAATAAATATAATAACACTAGTAAAGCGTTTTTTACGACTGTGGTATAGCGGGAGTCATAAGGGCAATTATCAATTACAGTTGTGTTACAGAGCAAGAATCAACAAGTAAATCAACACTTTTTTTATGACAGACTGCTTATAAGCAATATTTTGATGTACACTTTAAGGTGGCAGCAATGCAGTTAACATAATAAATTGGGGTGAAAATTTATAACATTTTTATGTTTTACAAAGTGTCGCGTAATTATTGATTTTGACACTTATTATCAACTTTTTGTTTTTTTCCCAATATTTGTTGGAAAGAACTGCCTTAAAAAGATGCAAAAATGAACAATTTTTGACCAATTCCCACAAGAAACTATGTTAAAGCATAATTTTATGAATAAATTATTAATAATCATCAGAATAATTCTTTACAACCATAATTACCCATCTTATAACTTTGTATGATTTTGTCTTCATATATAATCAAACAAAACTTGTTACCATAGAAACCAAGGTAAACTGGCTGAAAAATTGCCATTTCCAAGGATGTTTGTCATGTTTTCATGCATAGAATATTTTTGAATTTTATTTTACTGGGTATACTTTTAAGGTGAAATAACATGTGACAGTAACTGACATGAAGCAGAAACCATATTCCTGTTTAAGACAAGGCTGTGTGGTCATTAGTTATAATGAAATTATGATACATAAATGTGTTATCCAGCATTAACCAATCACTGTCAATACAGCAGATGTGGACTTTAACACAGATATCCTTAAAGTCACATATAAAGCAGATCGATGTATTTTGAGTCAGCGACTAATTGCCATAATAATAATACATGTGTATATATTCACACAACAGCGCCACAATCAAGGATAGAATAGTATGTCCGTAAATACAATAATCTCGGATAAAATAGTGTGTTCAATGAAAATATGCTATGCATGTAATACATACAGCGTGTAATACTGTCTTTGTGTTTTGTTATTTACTGCCATGTCTCATTTCAAATGCAGTTGATGCAGACAAAGCGTGTATAATCAGCATTAATCCTGCAGTACAAGAAAGTCACATGTCACACACGAAAATTGGTGTTAATGTATGACAAGTGTTCTAGCCAGCACATGTCCTCAGCTGTAATAATCAAATCATGGAAAAACAACAGAAGAGACAGTTAAAGATTTCATCTTTTATATCGCTTGCCAGCAAACACAATGACTAAAGCCATAGGATTCTTTGACTAATCCAAAGATGACGAAATTAACATCACAAATTCATCTTGAAATTTTAATCTCTGACAGAGTCTTGAATACAATAAAATTTTAATACATAAAATTGTAAAAAATGCTTTTTTATATTATTGTTAATTAATTCCCTATTTCAAGATGCAGCGATTTTATAAAACAAAAAATACGTTTTGCTGTATTTTACTTTTCAGCTAAATTCATGCATTGAGCAAAAACAGCATGTATTTTACAATAATTCCCTCCTATACTACCTGTACTCCTATTATTAATATGGTTTCTCCCAAGCCAGCATGACCATGGGTTATATTAATTATTCAGAATTGAAAATAGTTTATAAAAAGGACCTTGCAGCAGTTTCAATTTTATGGTTCACTGCAGGTTTACAACATAGAGTTATTATTGAGATTTTCAGTGTCAAAATTAAATCTCACTGG